GCCGCTTGGGAGTGTGGCGGCGCTCCCGCCAAGGGTTCGGATCCCACATACAGACCATTCCCGCTCACTGGCTGAGCGAGGTGCGGGCGCGACACCGAGGGTTGCGATCCCGTTGCCGGTCCCGGTCCAGTATGGGCGCGACACTGAGGGTTGCGATCCGTTGCCGGACACGAAAAAAGACAAAAAGGAAAAAAAAAAAAAAAGAAATAGTCTATAGTCATGTGGAAACATGCCTGCTGAGGGTTTTTTCTTTCCTTTTAGGTGCTGGCAGGCATCAGAGCTGACAAAGACCAAGCCAATGATGGTCTTTCTTCTGCATTGCTGATCTTGTATTTGGATTCAGCAAGGAACCTTCCGGTAGGCAACACGGTGATAACTTATTTGGGTGCTTATTTCCTGGTAGCAGATCTTGCTTGGGAACCACTGCTTTGTTCAGTCACAGTGTGCACCTGTTCTTGTCTTACTGTGTTTTCACTCAACCTCCAGTGCAGGAGAGCAGCAGTGGAGAAGGATAAGTTAGTGTTTGCTTCAGGCATGTGTATTTATGTTTACATGTCTTACTGGATTTATCCAGGATGTTCAGAATTATCTTTATTCCGACATGTTCTATGAAGAAATCTCCAATACGTAGGAAAAGAAGACGACTAGTAGATAGGGGAAGAAGATATTCTGTAGAAAATCACTAATTATTAAAATTTAGTTGCCTAAAGGTGGAAATTTTCTCTACTTGGAATGGGAACACAGTGGAGCAGCTCTGATTGCAGTCTCCAAGCTCCTCCCAGCTGTAGCATGGCACTGTGTGAGCAGCTGGCCTGGCGGTCCCTGGGCGCAAGGAGGCAGTGGTGCTTCCAGACTAGTGCTGAGCCCTCAGGTGCCTGGGACGCTTCTAGCAGAGCAGAAAGATACACGGTGCCTTTGGATAATCTGCTGTCAAGTGCATGGTGTTCTACAGCCTAAAAGCATTTGCTTTTGTTTGCACCAGAATTGTTTTGTTCTTAGAAAGAGACTGTGAAGTACAATTTTATAGATAATAACCGTGACCGTGGAGAAGGAGCATTTTAACCCCACCATTCAGGGTAATGCTGCCATTGCCCTGACTTTGTGTGTCTGATAATTGTTTTGATGCTTGTACTTGTTCACTAGATGGCCACTCTTCATTTCATTTTGCCAGTGCCATCTTTATTGAAAGAAAGATTGTTGCCACCAGTTACAGGGTTTGTTTCCCCCCAAGATTGTCCGTTGCATAATTCCTCATGCGTAGTACATGTCATTCACCTAAGTGCGTTTGTAAGTAAATAGTCTTCCTGTGTCCTTCCTCTCTCTGTCAGTATTTACTTGGTAGAGATCAACAAAGAAGCAAAGAAGCTTTTAACTTGGCCTTTTCAACACTGCATCCTGGACTTAAATTACAAATGGTTCATCCAATGTAGTCGTACCTTACCATGGTTAAACTATGTTTTCTTATAGTTCATGAAATTTGCAACCTTTGTTTCATTTAGCACCTCTCAAGTTTTGGAAATTTACTTGGGCTTTGCTCAAAAACAAAGTAAGTCTACTTTGTGCATCAGTACATTTTATATAAAGTTACTGACAATTAAAATATGATCATTAATTTTTTTCATATTGGGAGGATGTAATGTACTCTTTGTTGTATGTAATTACATATAATTTTACTCTTTCAATGAAGTTTTCTTGAGTGATTTTAACTTCTTAAATTCTTATATTTCTCTTAAAGTTCACCTTAACCTTTTGGTCAGTCTTCCGATGTAAAGTCTGTGACTTTATCTGTAATAATTTCAATTTGGGAAAAGTTATTTCATTGTTATTTAACCTTCTTACAGAATTTCTAATAGAGTAGAACTTTTTGTTTTTAACCATAGTAATGTTTGTTAAGAAGTCTTTTATAATGCCTGATAGAAGTGAATTTGTTGTATATTTTAGGGCATAGGAAATAGTATCAGTTAATTGGTGAGAAAAGATGAGGTCTCTTTTAGAACTATGTGTTTTACCGCATTAAGTTGAAATTTGAATAATATCACATAAGCAAAAAAAGGAAAGAAAGAAGAGTGAATGTATTACTCTTCTATTAAAAGGGCACTTTGTGCATGATTATGCTCTGGCCGTCAGAGGCAAAGGGTCTCTGCAAAGCTTCAGCCCTGATGGGTGTTTGTTTTAAACGGAGTGAATGTATTACTCTTCTATTAAAAGGGCACTTTGTGCATGATTATGCTATGGCCGTCAGAGGCAAAGGGTCTCTGCAAAGCTTCAGCCCTGATGGGTGTTTGTTTTAAACGGGAGCATTTGCTGATGGTTCCCCTGTGTTTTGTGGGATTCTTTGACTCTGCCTTTACACTCCTGTTTATTAGAGCTTCTGGTGCGTGCATTGACCACAATCCACCATTCTTTGCTTTCTCCTCCCGTCTCCACTTTCTAAGAGTATCTACGAGGGAAACTTTGGGTGTGGCTACTTAAAAGAGAGGCGAGCGTCGGGACTAGTGTTTTGTGAAAATACTACCTCAGTCTATAGAGCACTATTTGTGAGTCCTCCAGTGTTTTTTCTTCCTTTTGTTTTTAATGGAGATTGCCAGAATGTGGACTGGAACTTCTAATGCAGTCTACTTAGTGGTGGAATGATATGGCATGCTTTTTTATTTTCTTGCATGATTTCAGTTACCGTGTATTTGTTTTGTGCTTGCTTTGTAAAGTGTAACACTGCACTAACGTTGGTGAGTGCATCCACGGTGCAATGAACAAACCCAGTGAGTGGTGGAGAAGCCTTCAGTCCCTAAATTGCTGCTGGTCCATAAAAAGCAAAAATAGGGCCAGCCCGGTGGCGCACTGGAGAGTGCGCTGCTTGGGAGCGTGGCGGCTCTCCCACCTAGGGTTCGGATCCCACGTGGAGACCGGTTCCCGCTAACTGGCTGAGCATGGTGCGGGCGCAACACGGAGGGTTGCGATCCCGTTGCCGGTCCCCGGTACGGGCGCGACACCGAGGGTTGCGATCCCGTTACCGGTCAGTAAAAAAAGACAAAAAAGGAAAAAAAAAAAAAAAGCAAAAATAAAAATTCTTCTGAGGAAGAAATGAAGCCACAGTTATTAAAATTGATTTTTCTTGTAGTCCATTTCAATGTGCGATATTAAGTATTTCTTTGTAGACTTTTGCAAAACTTTCCTTTTTTTTTTTTGGTCTTTTTTTGTGACCGGTAAGGGGATCGCAACCCTTGGCTTGGTGTCGCCCGCACCACACTCAGTCAGTGAGCGCACCGGCCATCCCTATATAGGATCCGAACCCGCGGCGGGAGTGCCACTGCGCTCCCAAGCGCCGCACTCTCCCGAGTGCGCCACGGGGCTGGCCCGCAAAACTTTCTTAAATCTACTTTCTCCTCCTGGCCAAACGCAGGTGTGTTAGGACTCAGGCCGCCTTCACAGTCCAGCTGTGCAGTCAACTCTCAGTCACCCAGGGGAGGTCACACAAAGATAGAAATTCACCCATTTTTAATGAAGATTTGCCTTCTCCTGCATGGTTTAGTCAGAGCTCCTAAGGAGAAGAAAACTATGTTGAGTTCATAATTCAGCTTCTTTTAGGGCCAGCCCGTGGCTCACCTGGGAGAGTGTGGTGCTGATAACACCAAGGCCACGGGTTTGGATCCTATATAGGGATGGCTGGTTAGCTCACTAGGGAGAGCATGGTGCTGACAACACCAAGTCAAGGGTTAAGATCCCCTTACCGGTCATCTTTAAAAAATAATAATAATAATAATTCAGCTTCTTTTAAGGAATTTAAAGAATTTCCTGGAGTAGATAATTGATTTTGGTTTTGATCTCTGCATCTTTTTCCCCCTGGCTCTTTATGTCTGGCACCTTGATTGTTGGTATTGTTCTTGGTACTTGAGCAGAAAGCTACTTTCACTTGTTTTGAAGTCATAGAAAGCCACTGAAGGTGTAGTCATTACTAGTGTAGAAAGTCACTCTTCAGATTTAATTCAGTAATTAGTGAGATTCTTTAAGTCCATTTGTCCCTTGAATTTAATAATGATAGTGCTTTGCATTTTTGTAGGAGTCCATTTCTATTTCTAAATGATTTCCACATGTATTCTCTATTTATTTTTATTTTTTAAAAAAAGGAGGTTGGGGGCAAAACTTGAATAGTAGGTATTTTGCCCTATTTTATAGATGAGTAAAGCCAAGACTCTGAAGGACTAGAGGAGCTGTTTAGAGTCACCCACAGTGAGAGGTGCCCTTGGCCCCCTACTCTACCTGCTGCACCTATAGAAGGCCTTTTAAAAAGTCGAAGTAGGTCAGTGGTGTGTAGGGGCAACTTATTCTGTCACTTTTTCAGAAAATGACTATCTGCTTCTGGTTTTCTTAGTGGAAGACTTCATCATAAACCAGTATAAACAATAAAGTAGTTCTGCTGTGTGAATTCTTTTAAAGGTATGCCTTGTGAACTGTGAACATGCACTAAAAAAAATCACCTCTTCCAATATGTTGAATTAGGGTCATCTCTGAGTCAACAACCTCATGGCTTTTGGTGCTGCTGGGTTTGGGTGATATATTTCTCGAGGTTTTAAACTTCATTAAATGAGGTATATTGAAAACTAAGCTCCACTCTCTAAAACATGACATTAACATATATTCTCTGGCTAAATTGTTAAAAGTTTTTTATGACTTGTAATGTTTTATTATTTTTTCTCTAATACTTTTGAAAAATTTTGGCTTAAATATTTGTGGGAGAGGGAGAATTTTTAAATGTAATTGTTTCAAGAAAATTCTGTTCCAAAGAAACAGGGATGGCATTTAACCAATTTCATCTAGAAAAAATAAGCTACATTTCAGAATTGAAGGATAATGGCAAAGTCTGCTTTTTAATGTAGTGTTCGTTAAACCCTGACTGCGTTCCATACCGAGGAAGTAAAATGTGGTTTAGTAGGAAGTTACTCCTTTTGAGTACTAGTAACAGTTGAAATAACTGTACCCGCCAGGACCCTGAAAGGAATTACCTCAGCATTCTTTCTGTACCCATTTTTTTGGTTGTTATCTGAAGGCTATTGACTAACAGAACATAATGGTTAGGAATGAAGGCTCTGAAATCAGACTGGATTTGAATTTCAGCTTAACTACTCAGCAGTATGACCTATAGCCAGATATGTAATCCACTCTGTTTTGTTATTTATGGAATGGAAGTAATATCTTCATTGGGTAGAGTAAATTAAATAAAGTAACTCATGTAAAAGTGCACAGTGTAGCTAAGATAATATATGTTTGATAATTGCTGTGTTATTACATTGGCTCATTTGTGCCTAACAGCAAGGTTCTGGAAATGTTGTGGTGCTAGTTTTATAGACGTGAAAACTGAGGTGCGTCTCAACAACCAAGTGGGAAAGAACTGAGATTTAAATTCAAGACAGCCTGACTTAAAGGCGTATATTTTCATTATACTTCGTAATTTTGACTTGTGTTGATGCATTTTGAATATTGTACCATGGTAGAAAACTTAAGTGATTTTGCCTCATTTCATAGAATCTAAAACATCAGTTATTTTAAGATACACCATTATTTTATGTACCACTAAGAAAGATGTTTAAATGCCAGTTTTGATAGTGTTTATTTTAGACTTACTGAAAGAATTTTTGGACTTAGGATAAGTATAGATTTTTACCATGTCATTCACATGCATACGTAAAAGGAAAATATAAGCAATATAAATTGGTTAATGCAATGACAGCTATCTAACTGTGAACTGCCCGAAAGCAGGTACATAATGTTATCATTGTAAGTTTCATTTTGTTTTCAGAGGTGTTAGGAAATGGGGGGAAATATGTGTGTATTAAAATTGATAACACGTAGTAAATCTCTAGGAATGAATGGCCACTTTTTCAGAGTATTGTAAGTTTCATTTTGTTTTTAGAGGTGTTAGGAAATGGGGGGAAATACGTGTGTATTAAAATTGATAACACGTAGTAAATCTCTAGGAATGAATGGCCACTTTTTCAGAGATAAAGTATTTATATTAGTTAAGAAACAAGCTCAGCTTCTGTTTCAAAGACTTAAATGTAGCAGTAGCTTAAGCAAGACAAAAGCTTATTTTCCTCTAATGTAACAGAATTCTGGCCTGTGACCAACATGTAGCTCCCACCTCCTGAACAAGGGCAGGAGAGGACACATTCTCCTTTAAGGCCAGGCCTTAGTTCAAATGTAGCAGTAGCTTAAGCAAGACAAAAGCTTATTTTCCTCTAATGTAACAGAATTCTGGCCTGTGACCAACACGTGGCTCCCACCTCCTGAACAAGGGCAGGAGAGGACACATTCTCCTTTAAGGCCAGGCCTTAGTTACCTGGCCACACTTAACTGCAGGGGAGGTTTGGAAATAGAGTCTTTATTTACAGAGGACTTGTGCTCAGCTAAAACGTGGGAATTCTAATATTAAAGGACAAAGGAGAAAATTGGGAAAATTAGTATTCTCTGCCACAGTACTCTGTAGCCTTGGATTTTTTTTTTTTAACAGTATTTATTTCATTTTGCAGAATCATTCACTTCAAAAAGATGAACCAGAAAATAGATTATCGCAGTAGGTTTGGGCTAGTAATATTTTTTTCCAATAATCATATGATTTTGATGCCTATTTATGTCATTGCTGCAGTGTTGAGGATTGACTCTAAAATTATTTAACTAAAAAACATTTTTGTGACCTTCTAATTAATTTTCACTAACACAGACATTTAACTGCATCTTCTTGTGGGGCTAAGTTATAAATAAACCTCATGTCACGTATATGTTGTATTTTACTATGTTTTCTTCAATCAACTGTCTGTGCTCAAGTATGCTTCTACTGTTTTTTCTTACTCCTGAATTTTTTTCATTATATTTATACAAGAGTACTTCAAAAAGTTTGTGGAAAGTTTTGTGTTATCATTTAATTCTATTTTTCCACAAACTTTTTTATGTACCCTTGTATCTGCTTAATTTAATGTGATTCTAAACTGATGTTTATTCTTCTAGTCAAAATTACTTAGCAGCTGGTAAGCAAGATTTGATATCTGATAGCTATATGTTTGACACTTGAAAGTATTTTATTATTCCACTCAGAGAAATGTTCTAAATTATACATTCTTTTGCATTTGTCTTTTCTCACTTTTTTTGGTTTCCATTCATTGACCTTTATTTATTTTTGTTATTTCAGTAAATAAGTTTGAGAACTGTAATTAACATTAAAGAAGATTCAGTTTTCCCAAAATAGCTTGCTTTAAAAATAAAAGACCTTAACGTTTAAAAAATTGTGTGCACGTGGACATTTTCTTAATTTATTTCATGGTAGATATAATTATGGTCTGGGGTGTGTTTAGCAATTGTTTTCCATTTAAACTGTTCCCAGATATTCTCTCTATCTGAAGCATCAGAGGAAAATAGAAATCACTGTTAATATAAGCCAGTAATTTTATTTTTAGTAAGACCTATTTCAAAATGTGTTTATTGATTTATTTTGTCTTTTTTTGTTTTGGGATAGTCAGGAAAGAAAATAAACAGCAACCCAAATCCTCTTGTACAAATGTCGGTTGGGCACAAGGCTCAAGAGAGTAAGGTAAGGTCCCGCATTGTGACTCATTTTCTGTGATTGTCATCCTAGATTCGTATTTGTCACTGTTGCCAGTCATAGGTTGGGAAGGTCAAGTTGCAATTAGATGGTTTTCAAGTTGTGTGATGGTGAAGACATCCAGACCATTGCTTTCCAAATCTCCCCCACCCCCCCTAAAGTCAGTCATTTGGTCAATAACCAGCTACCTAATTTGGTAACAAATATTTTGTTTATTTTTAAAAATAACATTAAAAAATAATATATGAGTATACTTTTGTTCAATTTCATGGGTAGATACATAGAATAAGTTCCTAAATTTCTTTTGCACACACTATAAATATTTTGTTTAAAAGATAACCAACAGTGCTTAAAATTACAAATACAATTAGAGTCAAGAATTGAAAGAGAGGGTGAAGAGAGGGTGTTGCTATAGCTGTAATATGTTCTACTTTGCTGATGTGATAAAAAACATTTCAGAAATTATTCAAAGGTGTAGGCCGTTGTCCACATTTAATTGTGAACAACTTAAGAAGCGTGCCGTGTGCATCCACATCCTGGGCACTGAGAGCCAGTGAACCAAGGCCAGAGCAGCAGGTAGAGTCGCTGTTGCTGGGCATGCAGACTGGGGTTTCATGTCTGTTCATTTCCCTGGCACACACGAAAATCTTTGGGCTGTCTCTCATCTTTGAATGCTTTCCACAATTCACATATCATAGTACATACTCAGTAAACATGTTTTGGAATTTAAATTCATCCTAAGTTTCCAGGCTTATTAAATGAGTGAGCACAGTGTTGGTAGCCTGTTTACACAGGAAATATCACAGAACTGATATTTGGATATTTCTTCCAGATTCGGTACAAAACCAATGAACCTGTGTGGGAGGAAAACTTTACCTTCTTCATTCACAATCCTAAGCGCCAGGACCTTGAAGTCGAGGTATTTTATTTGCATTTTTAAGTTAATTTGTTTAAATATAACTGACATATAATAAACCACATATTTAAAGTGTACAATTTGGTGAGTTGTGACTTGTGTATACACCCAAGGACTCGTCAGCACAGTCAGGACAGTGAATATACCCATCCCTCCAAAAGTTCCCTTATTTCCTCTGTAATGCATGCCTGCCACATCCCTCCCCCAGGCAAGCACAGATCTGCCTTCTGTCACTATGGATTGTCGGTAGCTTTGTACAGTTTTACAAAAATAGAACTATACAGTATGAACTCTTTCTTGTTTGTATTCTTTCATGGTACTTATTTTGAGGTTTACCTGTGTCGCTGCAGATGTCCATGGTTTGTCCCTTTTTATTGCTGAGTAGTATTCCATGGTATGGATGTGCCGCGGTTTGCTTATCCACTCACCTGTCAATACAAGATTAGTAAAAGGTTAGATTCTTTCCAGTGTAGACCTGTTACAGATCTGCCATGAGTGTTCACACACAAATCTTTGTGTAGACATATGCTTTCATTTCTCTTGGGTAAATACTTAGGAGCAGAATGGAACGTGCATGGTTAACTTCTTAATAAACTGCCAAATTGTTTTCCAAAGTGCTCATGCCGTTCTACACTCCCAGCAGCAGTGTACAGGAGTCGCACTTCTCCACATTTTGCCAGCACTGCATTGTCAGTGAGTAGATGGTAGTGTCTCGTGATGGTTTCAATGTGGTTACTAATGGTGCTTAGTGTCTTCTTATGTGTTTATTTTACATCTGTACATCTTCTGTGGTGAGATGTCTGTTCAGTTCCTTTGCCCATTTTTTTAATTAGGTTATTTGTCTTCTTAATACTGAATTGTAAGGAGTTTTGAAACAAGTGCTTTTTGGATACATGTTTTGCAGGTATTTTCTCTCAATCTAGGGCTTGATTTTTCATGTTCAAAACTGTCTTTAGAAGAACAGAAGTTTTAAAATTTGATGAAGTTCAATTTATCACCCTTTTTCTTTTCAGTTTATATTCTTTGTGTCCTATTTAAAAAATATTTAAAGTATGAGGTAAGGGTCATGGTTCAGTTTTTATAAGTGGCTGCACAAACATTCAGCAGTTTTTTTTGAAAGATTATTCTTTGCCCTACTTAATTAGCTTGGCAACTTTGTGGAAATTCAGTCGTGTGGCCATGTGTGTGTGGGTCTGTTTCTGGAATTCCCTTCTGTTCCATTGTTCTATATGTCTGTCTTTATTATGGTGCTTTATAAGTAAATCTTAAAATCAAATAATATAAACCCTCAAACTTTGTTATTTTTAGAATTGTTTTGGCTGTTCTAAGCCTGCATTTCCATATGAATTTTCATGTCAGCTTGCCAATTTCTACAGAAAATCTGCTAGAATTTTGATAGGAATTGCACTGAAACTATAGATCAAGTGTGTAGAATTGACATTCCTACAACACTGAATCTTACAATCCATAGAAACATTGTATCACTTTATTTATATAGGTATTCTTTAATTTCCCTCAGGAGTGTTTTGTAGTTGTTAACGTACAGAACAGATCTTGTACATTTTTATCAAACTTATTCCTAAATATTTCATACTTTTTGATGTTACTGTAAACGGTATTTTTTTTTATTTTCAATTTTTGATTTTTTTAAATGGATTTTGTATGTCGATATCCTCTTACAACCCTGCTAAACTTGCTTATTAGTTCTAATAGCTTTTTTGTAGGTCCCTTAGGATTTCATAGATGGACAATCATGTTATCTGCTAATAATGACACTTCTACCTCTTTGTTTCCAATCTGATGCCTTTACTTTCTCTTCTTGCCTTAGTGTCTTGCTTAGGACCTCTGACAGTATGCAGAAGTGGTGTGAGTGGACACCTGGCCTCCTCCCCAGCCTTATGTCTCTCACCATTGAGTCTGATGTTGATTGGAAGTATTAGATACCTTTTATCTGGATGAGAAAGTTTCCTTCTACTCCTATTACTAGTTTGCTGAGAGTTTTTATCATGAGTGGATATTGAATTTAGTTAAAGGCTTTTTTACATCTGTTGAGATGATCATACGGTTTTTCTTTTTTTAAGTCTGTAAATATGGTGAAATACACATTGATTTTCAAATGTTAAACAAACTTTGCAACTCTTTATTTGCATTTCAAGGTTTAATATTTGAAAACCTTACAAGCAAACCTTTATCCCAGGATAAGCCCGACTGGTCGTGATGTAGCATCCATTGTACTATTCTATTGTTAATTCAACTTGCTAAAGTTTTGTTAAGAATTTTTGCATCTTCATCATGAAGGAGACTGATCGGTAATTTTGCTTTCGTATAATATCTTTTCCTAGTTTGGGTATCAGGGTGTTGCTGGCCTCATGAATGAGTTGGGGAGTATTCCCTTCTTTCCGATTTTCTGAAAGAGCTTATGTAAAATTGATATTTTTTCCCCTGTCACGTATTTGGTAGAATTCACCAGTGAAGCCATTCAAGCCTGCAGTTTTTTGTGTGAGGTGTTTAGGTACAAATTCAATTCCGTCAGTAGGTTTAGATCTATCCAGGTTGTCTATTTCTTCCTGCTGATTTTTGGTATTTATGTCTTTCAAGGGATTTGATCATTTCACCTAAATTCTTGAAACTTTTTTGGTGTAGGAGGTTATTTATAATATACCTTTAATGTTCTTTTAATATCCAATTGAGATGGCACATCTTTCATTCCTGATATTGGTAATTTTTGTCTTTTCTCTTTTTTCTTCGTGATCAGTCTGCAAGAGGATTATGGATTTTATTTTCCCAGAAAGCCAGCTTTTGGTTTCATTATTATTATTACTATTAATATTTATTAATATGAATATATTAATAATAATATATAATAATATATTAATAATATACAATAATAATTATATAATAATAATACATATTAATTATTTATGATCATTATTACTTTTCTCTCTATTGTGCCGTTGGTTTTGGTTGTGATCATTATTATTTCATTTCTTCTACTTACTTTGGGTTTCATTTGCTTCTCTTTTCCTGGTTTCTTAAAGTGGAAGCTTGGTTTGAAACCTTTCTTCTTTTATCTTATAGGCATTTAGTCTGACGTATTTCTCTTTAAGTTCTACTTTAGCTACATCTCCCATACTTTGGCAGGTTGTGTTTTGTTCTCATTCCTTTTGATAATTCCCTCTGGATTTCTTTCTTTGACCCATGGGTTATTTATTTAAAGGTATGTGTTATTTAGTTTCTGAACATTTGGGGATTTCTCTAGATCTCTGTATTATTGAGCATAATTTCATTCTGTAGTGGTCAGAGTACACTCTTTGTGTGACTTGGGTGCTTCTGCATTTGAGACGAGAGTTTTGTGGCCCAGAGTATTGTCCATCTCAGTGTGCACCTCATGTGCATCTGAGAAGAGCATGGGCCTCTCCGTTGTTGGGGAGTATTCTGTGAACGTCAGCAGATCAGAGTGGTAGGTAGCATTGCTCAGGTGCTCTGCATCCTTACTGTTAACTTCCTGGCTACTTGTTATGTCGGGTATTTAGAGTGTGGTGTTTAAATCTCTGACTGTACTTGTGAATTTTTCTGTTTTGTCCTCAGTCTTCGTTTTTGCCACGCGCGTCTTGAACCTACATGAATGGAGCAGGGCTGTAAGCAGCTGGGACTGTGAGGGAGCCCTGGTCCTTTTCTGTTTTGTCCTCTCAGTCTTCGTTTTTGCCACGCACATCTTGAACCTACATGAATGGAGCAGGGCTGTAAGCAGCTGGGACTGTGAGGGAGCCCTGGTCACTGCTCAGGCATACCCAGCCCTGTTTCATGACTCTGTTTGCTGTTTTATATGTTTACATTTGTTTTATACAAAATGATTTGTATTTTGTCTAGCTAATTTTTCCTTCATCAATTGCAATATTCCTATTCGATCTAGGATTTAAAAAAAACAACTTTTAAGGTTTGGTAAACGTTGTAATACTTATTTCATTTTAAAATGCTTTTGTGATTATAGCTTAAAAAGAAACAATTGGGCTTTAGGTTTTCCTATGTAGGTTACGTGTTAACTTCTCTGTTTTCACATAGGCTATGAAACCTCCAGAGTCCTTACTCTATTTGATTAAACTATTTTGTATTGCAACAGTCTAATGGGAATAGTTCCTGTTACAGAGGTAATGCTGAAGATTTTTATTCAGCGTAAAGAAATTACCATGCATGTAAAGCAGATGTTGTAAATTTTCAAAACAACCATGTAGATTTTGAGTAGAGAAGGCTTAAAAGATACTTATAAATGTATTTTCTTCATAAATAAGTGTAACCAGTAGAAACTTTACACATCACTACACATGCATATTGCCACTATTTTCACAGGAATTAAAAGACATTTCTTCTCTTCACATTTGTGTAGACTATTGGGTCTTAACTCAAGGTTCTCATAACAAATTCATGAAAAATAACTTGTTTTTTATTGTGCTCATTATAATTTTGTAATGAGCAAATGACAGATACATATGTCAGAGGTACTTAGCTTGTTACAGTGTTTTGTGTCTTCCTTTAAGGTCATACTGTGTTAATCATTTATGGAAACACTGCTTAAAAGAATATGGCTGAAATATGGTTTTGGGGTTTTTTTAAATATGCTTTTTAAAGACTAATTTGGTGGCCATTTCTACATTTTCTGTAGTTTCTGCAACCTTTGTCCTTGGAGTGAGTGTGTTTTCCGTCCTATGTTTTCCAGGTCAAAGATGAACAGCATCAGTGTTGTCTGGGGAACCTGAAGATCCCCCTCAGTCAGTTGCTCACAAGTGACGACATGACCTTGAATCAGCGATTCCACCTCAGTAACTCGGGTCCAAACAGCACAATAAAAATGAAGCTTGCCCTCAGGGTATTGTGCAGTCTTTTGCAACAGATACAATCGTGGATGGGAAGAAATGGGTTACTGGCAGGGATGCTAATGGCTAGGTCCTGAAAGGGTAGATGCTTCATGGGCACAAGGGGCAGATGATATGAAGACAGTGACAGCCTTAGTGCCGGGTATGGTGGGACAGTGCTGCTGGAGAACAGTGGAACTTGCCAAATGTTGGAGGAGCTCAGGGAGAGGAGAGGCAGTTAGGGCTTACACTCGGATGCATAACAAAAGTAATAATTCCAGCTTGCTTGAGCAGGCCCAAAATTATTCATTATGCTTTAACATGAACCCAGCCAACCATTTTTTAATCCTTTGGCTCAGAAAGTATTACTATCTGAATCAACAAGTTTTCTTCTAAGGTTAAGTTTTCAAAGGTTATTCAGGGGAGATAATTTAATAAAACTTTTTACAAGAAGATAGAACTTACAGAGAAAAATACCTTTTTTTGTCCAAAATAGACCATGATTTATTTGTAAATACCTACAGAAATGTTGAAGATAAAACTGGCACAAATATGGGAAAATGCTAAAACTCACTAATAAAAAAATGCAAATTAAAATAAAGGCCCAACTTTAAGGAAAAATAAATAAATAAAACAGATTTAGTTTGTTGAGGGTGTGGTGGAAATGGTCTCCCTGCACCTAGCAAGGCTCTGGGTATTGGTCCAGCCTTTCCAGAAAGGACTGCAGTATCCCCAAACCATTAATCCTAGGGTCCATTGGATCAGTGGCCCTTTTCCCAGAAATCTGACTTTTGGTAATAATACAAAGTGTGGGAGGCCATGAACATAAAGATGTTTACTGCAACTTTATTTTATAAAAGAAGGAAAAACCTTCAGGCCATCACAGTAACCCCAGAGTGGAGGGTTTACTCAGTATACACTGTGCTCAGTGGAATGTTGTTGGGTTTTTTCCTTTCTCTGTAGTTGCTGGTGGACACTGCCTGTGTAGAACAAGGGGTTTATTCTGTGAGGGTATGTGACTCAGTGGGCTTTTCCGGCGAGAATTGTGTAGAAATACATGCACATGGGAGAGACGAGAGGAATACACAGAAATGGCGTTTGTATTGCAGAAATGATATTTTGATTCCTTTAACTTTTTTCTAAGTTTTTTGTAATATGGTATTATTTTAGTAATTGAGTAACTGAATATATAGACTGTATTTTTTAAAGATTCTTGAGCCAAGTTTTAAAGAAACATTTGCAGATGAATACATCTAAAGCTGTTCAAGTATCAGAGTGTTACCAGTATCACTGACTGTAATTTTTATGTTTATTTCCACCTCTAGGTACTCCATCTCGAAAAGCAGGAAAGACCTCCAGACCACCAACATTCAGCTCAAGTAAAACGACCCTCTGTTTCCAAAGAAGGGAGGAAAACATCTGTCAAATCTCAGATGTCTGCATCTCCAGGCACTGGTGGCAGCAACACAGCTCCGTCCACACCTGTCATTGGGGACAGGGATAAGCATGGTGTAGAAGAGAAAACCCAGCCCACTGACGCTAGCCCTCAGGGCCTGCGGGACCTGGGCAAAAGCTCCTCCAGCCTCCTGGCCTCCCCGAGCCACATCTCTGTCAAGGAGCCCACCCCTAGCATCGCGTCCGACATATCACTGCCCATCGCCACCCAGGAGCTGCGGCAAAGGCTGAGACAGCTTGAAAAGTAACTAAATGCTCACTGTGTTGTCTGACACAATCAGAATGCGTGTGCCACTTACTGCAGGGTGAGAGGCGCGATCTTAAGTGAGCTAGAAGAACTTTGGGCTGTGTTGCTTACTGAGTCTTTGACTTTTAAAATAAAACCTGCCGCTTTCTAGGACTCTCTCATTTAAAGATTAGAAAATATGGAGTAGTGGGTTTCACGAATAGGAGAGTCCAGAGGCTTAGGGCTATGCATCTTCAGTGTGCTCACCTCATTCCAGGAAGGCAGACTCTGCAGCGTCGGCCTCCGAATCATCCTGTGGTGACTTGAGAGGTTTGGCAGAAGGTTTGGCTTCTCTTTGTTGCGTAAGAATAGGTCCTGTTGTTTCATGTTTGCCCGACATCCCATTCCTAATATCTATTCCCTTTTTGTTTGTCTTTGGATGTTTGTGTTGACTTCTTATGCAAGCCCCGTGATTCATAGATGTGTTAGTGGTTTCTTTAGATAAGTAGGAAAAACAGTCTGTAGTTACCACAAGCTTCGGATACTAACCTTTCCTCTCAGTGGAAGGAGTAAAACTGACCTTTGAAATGGTTCTTTCTATATGGTGTTATAAGAGGCTTGTTGAGTAATAGGAAGATAGTGAAAGAAACGGAGGCAAAGTTGGAAGCACGCTTGCTCCCGAGGGGTTAGAAGAGCACACACGGATGGCAGTTTGCGTGGCCCACGTCTGTGAGACCCTGCCCCACACTAACTTTTTTCCTCTGTACTTTCTGAGGTCCATTATTTTGGAAAAAAGAAATCAGTTCCTTTCTTCTCTCTTGCTCCAAAAGGAAACAAAATTTTAAACAAGGAACCACTTTTTCTCAGGAGCTAAATTTGGAGAGTAGCCCAAATGACCACGGGGAACACTCACGAGAACTGCTGTTGTCTTGGGAATCTGTGCTTCAGCCTTGAGCAGAGGGAGACTGAAGGAAGGAGCGTTGCAGTCTCATCCCAGGAAAGCAGAGCGAGTGACTCGTGAGATTTTCAGAAAGGACATGTGGTTGGGGTAGTTGCAAGCTAGACAGTGCTTAGCAAAGACCATAGAATTGATTTGTAGTAATAAGGAGACTTCTGCGTCTTATTTTCACCTTGGGCTCCAAATGAAAAAGTGTCGGTTTTGAATAATTAAGTTATATTGAACTCTCAAGTGAAATATGAATTCGGCTGGTTGATTTATACTGAGAAGTTTCAAATTATGTTTATGCTCTTGGGTAATAAGATTCCTTTTTGTCTAAATGAATGGAAATTATCTTACTGTGTGCATTGTACCTATGAACCACAACGCTTTTTGAGTCTGAGGAGAACTGGTATGTTTTTGCTTTGTTTCCCACAGCGGGACGACCCTGGGACAGTCTCCCTTGGGGCAGATCCAGCTGACAATCCGGCATAGCTCGCAGAGAAACAAGCTCATCGTGGTGGTGCACTCCTGCAGGTGAGTAGGCCTGGGCTGCAGCAGCAGTCCCTCTACTGTTGGCTGCTGAGCGGAGGCGTGACATGCGGCAACAGAAGCACCTGCCCCGGGCTGGTCAGTTGGTTAGAGCGTGGGGCCATGACACCAAGGTGTCAAGGGTTCACATCCCAGCATCACACAGCTGCCCAAAAAAGCACCTGCCTCTACAGTTACAGTGACTAAACAGATCAATTTGTGCTGCATTTTTTAAAGAACAAAGCAATTAAACCTACTATAAATGGTACTGGTAAAGAGTGTCAATATTTATTAACTGTTCAGGTTCTTTTAGTACTGTACAGAATATGAAGATACTCTCTTCTCAGTGAATATGTGTATTGAAGGGATAAAGTTGGTGTGTTTTCTACATGTGAAATGTTCTTACTTTTGTATTTGGGGCAGTTGGTTTTATCGTGTGGCACTTTGCGAGTAGAGGGCTGAGGATAGCGTCTCTCTCTTATTTGTGATTTACGTTAGCTCACCACCCCTCCCTCAGCAGAAATGCAAGGAAACTGAAGAGCAGTTTTGCTTTTATTAATATGTAATTGTTAGGTTTTTTGGAACATATGGAAATGTATATAAAAAAGCTTCAAGGTGTTTGGGAAAGAAAAGCTGGCCAGGATCCCAAAAGACTAGTGAGAACACCCTAACAGGGAATTTAAAAACCCAGGACGACTTGTTTCAGTGATTGATAGCAAACAAAATGCAGCAACGTGAAAGACAATTTTGAGGAAAGCACCTGTAATCTCAAACCCTCACACACGTGCACGCATCCATGTAGACACACCTATACATATGTGTGTTCGTTCATATTTTGTATTACATTCTAGTCTTTCTCTACAGGCCTGTATTTCTACAGTGTTTGCTATCCTTGTATATAATTGTTCATTCCTTTTTTTGTTCATAACATCATTTTTTTCTGTTGTAGTCATAACCATTTAGTTGCTTTATAATAACCCTTTGAGCTGCTGCACTGTAATTTATGTAACATTCCCTCCTGTTGAATGTTTAGGTTGTCTGTAATACATGTAACATGATAATGAACATATCTTTTCTTTATTGAAGTATTTTTTAGGATTAAATTTCCAGGAGTGGTTTTATCAATTCAAAAGATCCAAAAAGTGTATAGGCTCATTATTGCCATAGTCTTTCAAAAAAGAGTATAGCAATTGACATCGGCACCCCAAGCGTGCAGGTGTACCTTTTCTCCCCCACAGTCAGGTAAAATTTATTTTAACTTGTGCAGTATACTAATTACGTAAATATGAAGTGAGATAACAGTATTCCTTTTATTAGGATTTGATTAATGACTGATGGTGTGGGCCTACTAATTATTTTCTTCATATGTGATTTTGTCTGTCTCAGTATAGTTTAAAATGTGATATAAATATGGAACTTATAAAAAGCTGTGGAAACAGGAAAGTAAAATGAGTGACATTTGGAAATCAGATTATATAAATGTAGAGTTCAGTGTAATGTAATTATTGAGCACCTTCAATACTCTTGCTACTAAGGTAATTACTATGGGAGACACAATAAAAGAAGACTATTTTAGAGGAGTCTTTACAAAATAGTACCCTAAGTAGATTTTCAGGGCAGTCAGTAAGTGAAGGAGTTGAAGTGGTTGTATATAACCAAATACTAGACAGCGTCTGAATTGTACCAGTTGTCATGTGAGGAGAATGGTGTGGACTTCCTGGAGGAGGTGAGCCCTTGTCTGTGAAGATACCTATGGTTGGTTGGAGGATGGAAGGACATGGCCTGAGCAGGCCCTGCAGAGGCAGCAGCGTGGCCGCTTCGTCGCTTGGGAGGCTGGTTTCTGTGGCCCTAAAGCTGATCATGTTTCTTATTGGTAGAAAACAGTAGAAGTACTGTGGAAGGATAAAGCAGTAGTTTTTATGTTAGAAGCAGAGAGCAAGGGCTTAGAATGCCCCTCAACCTCTGGGCTCAAGAAATGGAAGCAAAATTTGCCTCTGGCAAAGCTGCTAAAAGAGAAGTCTTGGAAAGACGCCACCAAGTGTGTGGAGTGAGGGCAAAACGACGCTGTGCTGTGTTTGGCATCCATTGCTCCTTGTTGTTTCTTGGTTTTTAGGTAAATATAAAATCAAAACTTGATAAAGTAAATTTGAATGTGACGCTGATTCTCATTTTCCTAAATTCTAATATCTCTTCTCTGGTTTGTGTTTTAAGAAATCTTATTGCCTTCTCTGAAGACGGCTCCGATCCATATGTCCGCATGTATTTATTACCAGATAAGAGGAGGTCAGGAAGGAGGAAAACACATGTGTCAAAGAAGACGTTAAATCCAGTGTTTGATCAAAGGTATGGCATTTTGTTCAACTGAGAGTAGACTGCCTGGTTGAAGTAACAAACTGAGAAAAGTCTGCGCAGTGCCTTAAATGAAGAGTGCAGGTAAATCAGTGCGCTGTCAAGGAGTGCAAGTGAAAAACTGCACCAGAGCTTAGGAGACGTGCACTTGTTAAAATAGACAGGCGTGTTGAACGTCATGTAGAAGTGCTGAACGTGATCGATCCAAACACTGCACAGGGAGACTGGTGATGAAAGATCGAGTTATTGATAACCCTGAAGAACTTCATTTTGGGGGATTATATCTATTGATACTTACTGTGTTATAAATTAAAACTGGGAATTTAAAGAGCCACCAATCTGTACACATTTGGTATCTTACATTATAGTCCCTAGTGGGGGATTATATCTATTGATACTTACTGTGTTATAATACGCCCATAACATCTTAAAATATAACATTTTTATGAAAAAACTATTTTTCAAAACAATAAAAAAAAATAGAAGAATGGGGTTACTGTTCCACAGGTTTACACGTCCCTTCGGTGGTCTCGCTTAGTAGGTGCTGGAATCTGCTTCTGTGCTCAGTCTCATGTGACCCTTGAGAGGTTCTCAGGACCGCCTTGGGGTCCTCAGACCACACTTAAAGAGCCGCCAATCTGTACACATTTGGTATCTTACATTATAGTCCCTAGTGGCTTAAAAACCACTAACATTTGGGGAAATAATAAAGTTGAATGGTGTCAATATCTGTGAATTCAGTTTACATTCCATATTTAAAGATACGGTTTGTTTATTGTATTTTCATACCGGTAACCTTATTTAAACCAGAAGTCAGAAACTTCCAGGCACGTACCATATTCTGATGTGGGTATGTTTTATTTGACAAAATGTTCTTATTTAGCTGCATTTGAAGGTTTGGAGACTCTACATGCTGGTTTGGTAACTCTACAGGCTACCCCTCCAAAAGGACATATGCTGGTTCCACAGTGGGACCAGGAGTCAGTACCTGGTAGGCATTTTAGTTTGCAACATCTGACTTAAGTCATTAGAAGGGCTTTGGGGAAGGCCGGCTCGTGACTCACTCGGGAGAGTGCGGTGCTGATAACACCACGGCCACAGGTTCAGATTCCATATAGGGATGGCAGGTTGGCTCACTGGATGAGCAGGGTACTGACAACACCAAGCCAAGGGTTAAGATCCCCTTACCGGTCTCGTGACTCACTCGGGAGAGTGCGGTGCTGATAACACCACGGCCACAGGTTCAGATTCCATATAGGGATGGCCGGTTTGCTCACTGGATGAGCAGGGTACTGACAACACCAAGCCAAGGGTTAAGATCCCCTTACCGGTCATCTTTTTTTTTTTTTTTTTTTTTTTTTTTAAAGTGCTTTGGGGACTTTTTAAAAAATTCTGTGAAGCTCCTATCACATAATAATATTTTTTATTGGAGATAGTAGGAATAGGTCCTAAAGACTACACAAGAGTCATTATAAAGCCTGGGTGAGTGAATTACTCAGGAATTGAGTATTTCCTCACACATTATCCCATATTTTAATGCCCGTGAAGAGGCAGATATATATGTTCAAAGAACATTCCCCACCCATATGTAAGGGAGTAATGAACAGTGGACCCAGACATATTTTAGGATGCCAAGATACTCTCTTATGTTCAGGAAATAAAGAAAAAGACTTTCCTTGAGTCTTCATCAAAATGTTTGGTAGAAGGGCCGGCCCGTGGCTCACTCAGGAGAGTGCGGTGCTGACAACACCAAGGCCACAGGTTCAGATCCCATATAGGGATGGCCGGTTCGCTCACTTGGGAGAGCGTGGTGCTGACAACACAAGTCAAGGGTTAAGATCCCCTTACTGGTCATCTTTTTTTTTGGGGGGGGGAGAAGTTTGGTAGAAGAATTCAATATTATAATAAAAAAACAAACATAACATTTGGAATGATCTCATAAGCAGAAATACCATTTTTATTTATAAGAAAATACAGCAAAATTATGGAGGAAGTTAACAAAGGTCCTCTTTTCCCATTTCAGCTTTGACTTTAGTGTTTCATTACCGGAAGTGCAGAGGAGAACGCTGGACGTGGCAGTGAAGAACAGTGGTGGCTTCCTGTCCAAAGACAAAGGGCTTCTTGGCAAGGTGAGCTTAAGAAAAAGCCTCAGTCGATTCCTACGCTTTGTAAAAATTAAAGACTTACCTAAAGTGCTGTTTATTAGACTATACCTATGTAAGTGAAACGGGGAGGACTTACTCTGTGATTAATGCTTGTTTATAAGATAGTGGGCTGTGAAGACTGTCAGCTGAGGCACTGGTACATTCTGAAAGTATTTTATTTTCATTGTTTTTATTTATTTGTGTTATTGGTGTATTAGTGAAACTAATACCATGAACTTTTAGCTGAAGAAAGGTTTACTTTTAAGTTTTTAAATTTTTGTTCAAGTATCACATAGAAGGAAAAATCAAAGGAAAATATTCTCTTAAAATTTCACCTCCCCAACTAATCACACTGTTCTTTTTCTAACAAGTCATTGGTTTTATTTCTCTGAATTTTTTCTAATCTTTGTCCGTATTCACATTTAACTTTTGTATAAGATTGTGCAGTATATTCTTTAATAATGCACAAAAGGTTAAGTTGGGGAAGAGTAGTTTTGAATTGTAGATATCACTTTGGTCAGCAGCAGAAGTAGAGATAATCCACATCAGCTGTGCTGCCGTTAATAGCATATTAGCCAATATCCCTATAAATTGTCTCCATTGATGTTTCATAACAACTTAATTTTAAGATTATTGGATATGAGAAGGATGTCTTGGATATAATCAACCGTATAGCTTACAGGTGAATCATAAGGGTAAAAAAGATTGAAAAAACGAGAGCCTCAAGAAAGAGGAGAGTTCCATATTGATGGATCAAGACAGGAGAAGATTAGAGAGACTAGAAGAAGTAATGTGAGATCTGAAAGGAATTACCTTCACCTACTTTAACAGAATATTTATTTTTTAATGGACAGGTATTGGTTACTCTGGCATCTGAAGAACTTACCAAAGGCTGGACCCAGTGGTGAGTGTATGAGATCTGAAAGGAATTACCTTCACCTACTTTAACAGAATATTTATTTTTTAATGTACAGGTATTGGTTACTCTGGCATCTGAAGAACTTACCAAAGGCTGGACCCAGTGGTGAGTGTCCCTCCTACAAATTGAGAACCCCAACTTGTATCTGGTAACACTTTCCAGACTTGACCCATGTCTTTTGCTTCCTCCTGTGCTTCCTCAGGTATGACCTCACGGAAGACGGGGCGAGGCCACAGGTGATGACGTAGCCACACTGGCGCGAGGCAGCCTGCTCAGTGTCTCTTCCCCACCTCTCCTCGCACACATCCCCTCACAGACGAACCAATGTTATTTTTATAATTTCATGTATTTTTAGTTATACATACCTTATTAAGTTTTATAAAACTGTTGCCATTTTAGGCAAATTTGGCCAATATTATTGTTAAATTTTGTATGTTGAATTTCCTCTAGTATTTCACCAGTTATTACAACGTGCGGTAGGATAGTAGTTAATTATTGTGTGTGTAAAACTCTGTCATTCGTATCTGCTAGGAAGCAGATACATGTACGTGCTTTAATATTGCCTTGTTTTATATATCACTGAGCTGCACTATGCCATGTAAATAGATTCTATTTTTTATAATCTCTACATGCTGGTTTGAATTGAGAAGAAAATGGATCAAGGAAATATATATTTTCTTCTAAAACTTATTAAATTCTTGTGACAAATAATCATTTTCATCTTTGCAGCAAAAAGTTCTCAGTGATCGATTTTGTGTTTTCTTTTTAAAAAGAAAAACTGAAAGATTATTAAATGTTAGTATATTTCTGCCCATAAGTGATAAAAAGAAGTATTCAAAATATTAACATTTTCATAAGTACAAAGATATATTATTGAGAAGTTAGTTGAAGGGCTTATGAGGAGAAGTGTTTTATAACTGAGTCATATAAAATATTAAGAGAATTATCATGATTCATAAATCACTGTATACTAATCTGAAATTTCTTACATAAAAATGAAATGTCTTAAGTTTATTTTTAATTGCTTGTTGTAACTTATTCATGCAAGAGTGCACAGATACATGTGTCATACTTTTCCTGAAATATAGGAACAGACTTTAGCAGTTAAGCTATGGTACAGTAGTCGGTCGTGAGCTTTGTCAGTTGTCAGTGCTTCTCCAGCCTGTAAAGAAAAAAAGGTGCACGTTGTCATTACAGAGGTTGCTGGAGAGATCAGGAAGAGTAGATAGGTTATTGCGTTAAAAACTGACAGCTCACTCACTCGCTTGTGAATGTGAGGAGAGCCTAGCTCTACTTCTATGTTGGACACATCGTCTTTGAACAGGAGCTTCGTGGTATCCACCATCAGGACCAGAGGGATCCCACACAGCAGAGCAGCTGTCAGTTTTAAATAACCATTTCCTGGGTTTCCTCACTTTACTCCATGACTGACCTTAATATTGGGATATTGTGACACAATTTTTATTTTGGAATCTGTTTTTCTTTTTAGATTATTAAAGGCATGTTGTATATACTCAAGATTCCCCAAAACCTCTTGTGAAGTGAGGCTTTATAGCAGCATCATGAGCTATGCATGTCTATAAACAAAGAGTACACATATGCAGAAAGATTTTTAAATGTATATTTTAAGCTGTATGATGAAAATGACTTCCTTAACCATGAGAACATTTTCAAACTATGTATAAATATATTGGGGAAAATATAGCTTTGTAATTGGATTTGGAGACCTACCTTAACTCATTTCATGGAACTGAACAACTCACGGATAACTCACGTGACCAAACATACCAAAGTGCCTGTGGTGGATGCGATTGTTACTTCTGCACACGCCCTCCCCCCCCCCCCCCCCCCCCCCCCAGCACATTTCAGTTTTGTTTCAGTCTGTAACCTACACTTGAGCCATGGGTTTGTTTATCATGGAGTCTGTAGACCAGTGTATCTCAGTGTCTCCTACTTAACACTTCACTCGGAAGCATCTTTATAGACCATTTCCAATGTCAGCGTACAGGATTGATTGTTCAGAGGAAGTTTATGAATACAGTGATACACACATGAACATATATGCACACAAAACATGGAACTATAGTGTGTTAGCATGAGAAAGACAGGTAATAACTTATCAAATCTAGTTGCTTACCCATGGTATTAGATTTTTTGAAGGTTTTTTAAAAATTAGGTCTGTTGAAGGGCTTCTGTCATAATCTATGAAAGAGAAGAAATACTCATTGAAATTTTATCATGGTAGTAATTTTTACTAACATCCTAATAAACATCTGGGTTTGTTCCCCATTTGCTTAATCTTTTTAATTTGTATTTTACTTAATGGAATGTTTTATTTAAGCAGTTCGGTAAAATAGGTACAATTATAGATACAAAGCCCAAAGGAAGCCAGTTCAGCAGCACAAGGCACTGCCGTCTTCTGTGCAGTGGTGCTGGGAGAGCTGTCACCCGCAGGGTCTGAGACCTCCAGTAGCTGTCCGCCTTCTCTTCAGAAGGAAAGAGAGGAGGGATGATTCTAGGGCACTCAAGTCCCTCCCAGATGTTGTGCACATCAGGCTATATGCTTGTCACTCCAGGATGCGGATGATAGAAAACAGCCTTGGGTTGTTCTCTAAATGCTCATTTTTAGTTTTTAATAATTGATTTATCTGGGAAAGGGGAACTTCAGCTTTTCTACTTTGCGCCAAACCAATGGAGGGAAAATTAACTTCGGTGGATTTGAAGTGCTGCTCTGTTACCTTGTATGTGTGGGTTGCTATCTTGTGCCTTAAAGTATGAAGGTGTTTTTAAGTTTCAGATCAAAACAAAAGCCTGTAGCTATATTTACCACAAGTTATATTCTGTGCTATGAGAATTCCTTTTACAGATATTCTTTGTCAAGGAGGCAGCCCTTTTTCGAGAACCTAAGCCAAATGCAGACCTGTGTGTAGAGCTGTGCATTTATTCTGTGGATGCTGCATTAACCCCAATTCTAGCTACATCACCCACTGCAAATGGAGAACAGCAGAGGGGTTTTAAATTATAGAATGTCCTTTTTGTTCAACTAATTTTATATGACAATGCATGTATTTATTCAATAAAATCTTATGTTAGCTCATTTGTGATTTGTTTTTCCTTTGTCTTTTGAAATTAAATTTTTAGTATGGCATCAGATTGTTTGAAAAGCAGATAGAGTATACTGTTTGTATTTGCTATTTGTAGATTCTTTTTTTCAGAACGACGATGTTAGATCATTTGATATTACTCCTGTTTTCCCAT